ACGCGCTCGGCGAGGCCCGGCCCGCCCCTTGTCCCCCTTTGTGCAACACGGAGAGCCTTCGGGTCGCAGCTGAGAGTGTCTGCAGTTCGGGAGGGGCTTCCCTGAGGGTTGGGGAGGTCGCCCCCCACTTCTGCAGAGGAAACACCTTCTCTAGGCTCCTGCCTCTCATCCCGGTCACTGATGTCCTCTCCTCCCCTAGGACTAGCAGGCCCCAAACCCGCCCTCATCTCCTGGATGGAGCAAAGGGAGGCGTGGAGCCCGGAGGCCGAGGACCCCCAGGATACTAAGGAGGGCGCAAGGCTCCCGGGATCTGGGATAGGTGAGGAAAGTGGAGTCGAGGTGGCAGTCGGCCTTTCTTGGGGGGCGAGTGAGGCAGGCTCTATCCCCAACACCCCCCTCTCCTCACCCAGCCCTTCTCCTTATAGCCCCAGTTAAGAAGAATCTCTGAACCTTCTCTTCCAAAGTTCCCTTTCCAGACCAGGTGCCTTCCTGGGGTCAAGGGTGGCCACGTAGGGGGAGAGAAGTTGGGGATAGAGTTTATTGAGGCTTCTTCTCTGCCTGTGCGGTGTCTGCCTGCCGCAAAGAGGAGCCACACGCTCACTAATGAGGCCTGGACTGTCGGCCCAGGTGGTAACGGTGTTTCATATACAGTGTCCTGCTGTCCACGCCAGTACTTTGAAAAATGTCTCTGCTGAAATGCCCACATATAAGGGCTTTAACATGGCCGGGGTGATTGCTTATTTCTGACAAGTAATGACATCCCCCACTTTCTGACAAAACTACAATTTTCCAAGCCCTGACTGAGGAAAAAAGATGGTGTCTGTCCATGCAGTGGGGAACTGCCCCCCATAGACAGAGCAGGGTCTACACTAGCAACACAGGGGCCGTGGGGACTGCTGCTCCCTGCGCAGACATCGCCCCATCCTGAGAGAAAGCACAGGCATGGGGATGCAAGTACTCCAGTGTTCAGTTTTAATTCTTTTGTCTCTTTAGAAAGCAAGAAAAAGAAGAATGAACAGAGCAACAAAATCGGGGCCCAGGAGCTGGAGCATGACCCGATGAGGGAGGAGCCACCACCGCAGGCCAGGCTGGCCGCCAGCTTCAGGAGCTGCAGCGATACAGTGCCCCAGGTCCCCGCAGACACAGGGCGCCGGTGCATCCGGACTCCCGAGAGGCCCTACCCGCGCCTGGACTGCAGCTGCTCCTTCAGCTACCCTTCCCTCCTGGCCAGTCACCAGCGGGTCCACTCTGGGGAGGGACCCTTTCCCTGCGAGCAGTGTGGCGGTCTCTTCTGCCAAAGGGGCAGCCTGGCTGTGCGCACATGCGCACACACACTGGGGAGAAGCCCTTCGCCTGCCCAGACTGTGGGAGGGCCTTTGCGTACCCCTCGATGCTGGTCCGATATCAGCGAATCCACTCCGGAGACCGCCCATACGTCTGTGGGCCCTGTGGGGTTCAGTTCTCGCAGAGATCTCACCTGGTCAAGCACCAGCTGCTCCACACAGGGGACAAGCCCTATTCGTGTCCCGACTGTGGCCGCTGCTTCCGCCAGAGTGAAGCCCTGGCCATCCACAGACACAGACACGGCAGGGAGAAGCCACACCTGTGCATCGAGTGTGGGCACGCACCCTTCCCTCTTGGCTATCCACCAGCGCAACCACGCTAGGAAGAAGCTCCATATCTGTTCCTACTGTGGTCGGGGCTTTGCCTACCCCACCCTTCTGACCAGCCACCAGTGGGTCCACTTTGGGGAGCTCCCCTACCCCTGCGCCCATTGTGGCACCTGCTTCGCCCAGAAAAATAACCTGCTCCAGCACTAGCGCATCCACACGGGTGAAAAGTCCTATGAGTGCCCTGACTGTGGCTGCTGCTTGCGGCAAAGTGGCCCTCTGGCCATCCACCGGCGCACACATGTAGGGGAGAAGCCCTACTCCTACCCTGAGTGTGGGCACTGCTTCTCCTCTTCCTGTGTCCTCAACAGCCACAGGCGCATCCATGCTGCCGAAAGTCCCTCCCCTTGTCCCCAGTGCGAGAAAGCCTTTAAGTGGAAGAGTGCCCTGGAAGTCCACTAATGGATCCATCGAACAGGTTGGGTGAGTCGGAGGGGTGGCAGACCTCTGTCACGATCCCCAACCCAGGCTTCTGTCCCTGAGGCCCAGGAAACCTCAGTACACTTCTGGCATTTTCCAGATATGTTCCAGTAGTGCCGGTGTCCTGAGTTAAGCAGTGTCAAGCAGCTAATGATTTAAGATTTCTGTCTTAAGTACTGGGAAGGAGGTGCAGAGAGGGCAAGGCACAGGTGAGGGGAGAAAAGGGAATCAATGGTTTCCCCCTTACTAGATGTCAAGGGAACAAATCACAGATCCAAACACCTGGCTTGGACCAGAAGCCATAATGTAAGAAGATTATAGGCTTTGAACTAGTCTATCCCCTGTTCAGTTTTGGCTCATCCCTTGTGTTAAAGACAAGACAGGGTCAGCCCGTGGCTCACTTGGGAGAGTGTGGTGCTGAAAACACCAAGGCTACGGGTTTGGATCCCAATATAGGGATGGCCGGTTTGCTCACTTGGGAGAGCGTGGTGCTGACAACACCAAGTCAAGGGTTAAAATCCCCTTACCAGTCATCTTTAAAAAAAAAAAAAAAAAAGACAAGACAAGACAGCAGGCCCCAAATGGAGTCACTCATGCTGAATTTCCACAGCACCAAAACCAAAACCTAAGTTGTTTACTTAGGAGAGAGATGATAGCCAAATACCATTAAACCAATAAGATTTCACTTACATCCCTATAAGGAAAGTGATCTTGGAAAGACCATCTGCTATTTGTTCCTGTTTCTGCCTTCTTCCCCCCACTTTTTCCCCCTATAACACTCACCCACTCTTGTTAGCTCATCAGACATCCTTTCTGTTTTATAGGTTTGGATGCTGCTGGGTTCAGGAATTGCTAATAAAAGCCAATTAGACTACAAAACTCAATTTGTTGAAATTTTCTTGCAACATCAACTTTTCTGATAATTTCCTCATCTATAAAATGAACACAGTAATACTACTCTAAGGTATTGTGATGACTAATACATATTTAGTCAAAACTGTCTACTAGTACTATACTTTTCATGTTGTACATCCTCTGAGCTTTGAGTTTTTTGAATATTGAGGACAGCCTTATCTAATCACCCTACTGGTCAGAATCACTGGAATCTTCTCATCCAAAGTTTCCTCTTCCCTGATATGGAGTCTTCCTCATGTTAGGGCAGCTGGTCCCAGCTGTTCTAGATCTGTGCTGTCCAACACAGAAGTCACTAGCTACATGTAGTTAGCACTTGAAATGTGGCTAGCGTGCCTGAGGAAATGTGAATTTTTACTTTTAACTTAAGCCTAGAGGATCTGCATGCTCTGACTGGTCTCAGAGAGCAACCAGAAGTCAACTGAGCCAGGCTTGTCTGCACTTGTTTCTCATAGTATGGCTTGACATTAGAAGCTGCCCAGTCCCTCTCTGTATAAGAATTCAATGACTTGGCACTTACCAATTAAAATGAAAACAGGTGTTTTCCTCCTGCTGAGGTTTCAGGTTTTGGAGAAATATTTCCACTGAAATGCCTGCTTTTTTTTGGTGGCTGGCCAGTTCAGGGATCCGAACCCTTAACTTTGGTGTTATGATATTGCACTCTAACAAACTGAATTAACCAGCCAGCCCACCAAAAGGCCCACATTTAAGATACTTAACCAGGGAGAGATGCCAGTTTAGTCCTGAAAAGAGTTCAGCTGTTGCCGACCAGTACCCCGAGGGGAGATGGTGGGAAATGAAGAGACACGCTTTATGAGGTCAGGAGGACCTTACAGGCTGATGACCTGCAAGGCATCTCAGTTTATTTTTGGTTCCTTTTTATATGCCAGTCAAAATAACAAATTGTACTAAATCAATTATATCTGGTACCAAACTACTTATAGAACATTTTCAGCTACCACAGCACTTGAAGATTCATGGCTAACTACTTAACAAAATAAGAACATAAGTTTCTCATTTACAAAGCTCTCAGGGTCCTGGGTTCAATCAAAGGTCAGACCTCAAAGGGAGGGAGAAGGGGGAAGAAGGCAAAACGGGAAGCCAGCCTTGCTGGCTTATCCCCTAGAATACCAAGGACTTTGTCATCTTGCTATTCAGTACCTCACATTTCTCCCTTCTGTATTTTGGATGATGATGACCCCAGGACCTCTCATTTGAATCCGTAATCGGTGGGTAGAGTGGTACAGAGTCACTGTAATTGCTGGTTGCTACAATGGAGGCAGATTGAAAATTATAAACACTATTAATGAATAAAATATCTACTGTACAGTGTACAAGGGATGCAACTGAGACAGTTTCTTGGTTACAGGAGATATTAGTTAGACTTCTCAGTTTTCTCTCTGGCGAGCCGGTATATGAAAAACTGATATCCTGGACCGGATAAACCCATGGATGAAGGGACTCCAAAGAATGAAAGAATTTCTTGATAGTGAGATGTGACCTTGTTAGTATCCCAGGCTGGTGAAGTAGAAGTAGAAATATATACTTACAGAGCTTATATACTCTTTTATGTTATTTTCATTCTAAGTTTAACTGATTTTTATTTTTATTTATTTATTTATTTATTTATTTTTTAAAAGATGACCGGTAAGGGGATCTTAACCCTTGACTCGGTGTTGTCAGCACCACGCTCAGCCAGGGAGCGAACCAGCCATCCCTATATAGGATCCGAACCCGGGGCCTTGGTGTTATCAGCACCGCACTCTCCCGAGTGAGCCACGGGCCGGCCCGGAAACCACAAGATTTTGAACTTGGTCTATATAGATACAGTAACAACACTCAATGAGGCAAGTAATCTCCACAAACCTGGATGGGCTATACTCTAAGTTGTATACCATATCCTAGTCACCCAACCCCTGGGTACCACCCAGTTGGATGGCAGCCAGGATTCTAGGTGATGAGACCAGTCCCATAATGCCTTCTCATTATCTGAAGAAAATCCAACAGGGTGGTGTAATACAGGAGTGGGATAATAACATTCCAGCCAGTGGGGGTATTTGACAAAAGGCTGTCCATGTGATCCACACAGGAAGACAGCCCTGGCGGGTTGAGCACCAGTTATTTTTTTTATCCCACCCAATCCATACATTATTACAGTCTGCATATGAACTCCTGGACAAGGTTAGAGTCCTTTTGAAGGTGCTTCTATCCCATGTGCCAATTTTCCTTGGATGTGGGCATGAAAGCAACTGAACCTAGGCTTAGTGGTAAAACAAATGGGTGAAGTAGAAGAATGAACAGTGTTATTAACAGACCTATTTACTTCAGAAATTATAGATCCATCCTCCACATATCCCTTTTTAATTTAGTTAAAAGAAAAAGCAAAAGTTATAAATCCAGGTTTTACAGTTAAGGCAAAACATTGTTATAAGTTGGATTTATAATTAAAAAGCCTGTAGCAAAGACATATATAATCCTGTTTCATTACTAAACTAAAAACAAGCTAACAAGGCATGTGCAGGGCTCTGGGAGAAACCCAGCAGACAGTCTTTTTATAGCTTTTAGTCCTTAAGCAAAAATAAAACAGGTGTCAAACACAGTACAAAATGTATTGACCTAAAAGCAAATTTAGGCAGAAGGTTTAAATTAAAATTTGAAAACATTTATTGTATCAACAATTTTGGAAGATTAAAGTCACATGAACTTGAAAAGTATACTTATTTTATAAGCATGCATTAATTATAAGCCAATTTGGTACCATGTAGACAATACAAACACACATATAGACATGAACATGTAGGCATAACATACATTTATGTACATATATACAGACATAAACAGATAAAATAGAAAACTCACTAGCATAAAAGGAGTTAGATTTGAATTGTTCTTTTTAAAAATCAAGATTTATCTGTGAGGCCTCACCTTATTTTAGAGAAAATAAAGTAACAAAACAGGTTGATTTTAGTTTATTTCTTTGTTTTTTAAATGGGTTACTGAGCTTAAGGTTGAGCCAGAGAGCAGAGATAAGGTCACAGACTTTTGGGGTTTCAAGAGAAAAGCAGCAGACTCAAAAGGAAGGTCTGGTTGGCACCAGGGCTGTGTTTCTCAAAGCCTCAGAGTCCCTGGTGAAGAAGAGAAGCATGTGCAGTTAAGAAAACATGTTTAAACAAAACCAACGTTGTAAAGAAATATTAATATTAACTTTTTACTTTAGTTTGTCCAATTAAAAGTTCTTTCAGTCACTGGCAAAGATTAAGTTTTATTTTTATTTAATTAGTTTGTGACACAAACATGTCTGTTTCTTGTTAAGGTCTAGAGTAGGTTTCAGAGTGATTTGACAAAGATTCCAAAATGTTAGGTAGGAAGCCTTGATGAGACCCACTGCATAATCAATAACCAATTAGTTTCCACATTTCCCTGTCCAGGCTTCTTTTCTTGGGATACCAAGGACATTGTTTAATAATCATTAACAGTTTTACAAGCTGCCATTTGGTTACTTTACAGCTGGCTGCTTTAAGGAGACAGTGGAGTTGTAATCTATGTTGAGTGTCCTCCTTTAGATAAGGAAGTTCCCATATTTTAAAAGTGAAAGAAAAAAAAAAACTTATGGGCTGTTCCAATATCCTGCAAAACTAAGACCAAACATTGACTGTCTGAATATAAATTAAAGGGACTGTCCTGTAATAAGGGAAAAGTATAAATAACAGAGTGAAGTTCAACATGCTGTGCAGAGGAGGGTTGAACATATCTAGAAAAGGGTTGGTCATCAATAATTACTACTGTTAGTCCAGTGCTGGAACCATCAGTAAACATGAGGGAAGCATTAGGTAAAGGAATTGAAGAAGTATTTTTAGGAAGGATGAAGGAAGTATGCTGAAAAAATTGTAACAGTTTATTCTGAGGGTAGTGGACAGAGATTTGGCCAGTAAATTCTGCAAAGTCTTCTTGCCAAGCAGCGACAGAGCTCATTAACCATTGAAACTGCTGTGATGAGAAAGGAATAACAAAATAGTGAGGAGGGTCAATTCCAAACAACTGT